GGGCTGAAGAAGGCCAAGGGCTGCCCCACGCCCGCCCCCTGCTGCTCGACTACGGCCCCGACTGCCACGTCCGACGCATCGGTAGTAAGAGCAACAGGTGCGGTGGGCGAGGGATGCGCCAGGAGTGCCGCTGGCCTTTTTCTGTCTCAGGGCCCCGTACAGCGGCTGCAGGAGCTGGGCCGCATGCGGTAGGAAACGGTTATAAAAATTCACCATTCCCAAAAACTTCTGCAGTGCCTTCACGGAGGCTGGGCGGGGGAAATCTGTCACAGCCTGCACTTTGGAGGGCAACAGAACCGCGCCCAGCGTGGAAATACGATGGCCCAGAAAGTTGATGACCGGCAAACTGAACTGGCACTTCTCAAGGTTGATAAACAGGCCATGCTCATCTAGGCGCTGAAAAACTGATTTGTGGTGTGACCGGTGCGCATCAGTCAACGGGCTGGTGACCAGGATGTCGTCGAGATAAACAAACTCGAAGTCGAGATCTCGCAACACCGAGTCCATCAGCCTCTAAAATGTCTGCGCCGCGCCTTTAAGGCCGAAAGGCATGCGCAAAAACTCGAAAAGCCCGAAAGGAGTGATCACTGCGGTTTTAGGCACGTCCTCCGCACGTACAGGAACCTGGTGATATCCGTGCACCAGGTCTACCTTGGAAAACACTGACATTCCCACGGGCTGTTGGAACGACGCTCCATGTTAGCGAACCCCTCCATAGCAATAGCCGACTTCACTGCGCCGAGGCGTTGCGCACGCGAAAACCGGCGGACCGTCTGTGGGAATGAAATGCTCCACCCCGTGCTTCGTGACCGCGGTCGAAAAAGCGGGAGTAGTTAGTGAGGGGAAACTGCGACAGTAAACGCTGAAACACGTTGCTCGACGCGGAGAAACTACCATGTCAATGGCCACCATGCGTCATCATGTCTGACATGCGAATGTAGAAAAAGACAGCATCAATATGATGTCGATTTGCAACATCAACTAGCAACCCGTTAGCACACAGAAAATCTGCACCTAATATGGGAGTAGTAATGGCAGCAATCACAAAGTCCCACTGAAACTGGCGTCCGCTGAAACCAATAGTCACAGACCTGGTACCAAACCAGTAGGCAGCACTAAGCTGCGGACCGTTGCCGCAGGACGAAAGGTCCGAGTCTGCAGAGGGAAGGAGGCTCTTCTGCGAACCAGAGTGCCACGAACGAATCTTTCGCTGTGAACGAATTCTTTGCTGTGAACTAATCTTTTGCTGTAAACTAATCACTATGAACGAATCACTCTCTGTGAACTAATCTTTCGCTTCGTTCTCGCAGATTCGTTTCATTTGTCACGTGACAGAGAGCTCGGGTCTCTTTTGCTCTCATTCATCTTCACATTGTGGTGTGTTTTTATTTCTTAGCTTTT